CTTACGGAGGCTGAAGAGATCCAGGTCCCTCAATCTCTCCTCTTAGGACCTTACCTGCAGGCCCTTTACCATAAAAGTGGCCCTCCTCTGGGCTCTCTCAAGGTTATCCACATTCCTCTTGAAGTGTGGTGCCCAAGACTGGATGCACTATTCCAGCTGCAGCCTTACCAATGCCGCATAGAGGGGAAGCATCACCTCCTTAGACCTGCTCATGATGCACTTGTTAATGCATGATAGAGTGCAGTTAACTCTATTGATCACTTTGTCACATTGTTGACTCATGTTCGTCTTTGAGTCAACTATGAATCTGAGATCCTTTCCTCTGCTGTGCTGCTTAGAAAGTCATCCCCCAGTCTGTAAGTGTGTTGGTGATTCCTTCTCCCTAGGTGCAGTACTTTGCACTTATCTTTGTTAAACTGCATCCTATTTTGTTCTGCCCACTTCTCCAGCCTGCCCAGATCTGCCTGAATCAGTTTCCTTTCCTCAAGTGTATTTACTGTAATTTGGTGTCATCCGTGAGTTTGGACGGTGTGTTCTCCACACCCTCATCCAAGTCACTGATGAAGATATTGAATAGCACCGGTCCAAGGACCGAGCCTTGGGGGACCCCACTGCCCACACCTTTCCAGGTCGATACCAACCCGTCCACCACCACTCTCTGGGTGCATCCCATTAGCCAGTTCGCCACCCACCTGACCATGAAATCACCTAAGCCACAGCCGCTTAGTTTTTTTTATGAGAATGGGATGTGACACTGTATCAAAGGCTTTTTTTAAAATCCATGTATATGACATCTACCTTGACTCCTGCATCTAAGCAGTTTGTGACCTGGTCGTACAAAGAAACATGTTTGTTGAGCAGGATCTACCTGCTGTAAATCCATGCTGGTTGCCCTTCAGCATTATTTTACCTGCTGGACTCCCACAAATATAATCCTTAATTTTTTCAAAGGTTTTCTCAAGGATAGAGGTGAGGTGAGACTAAACAGTCTATAGTTACCTGGATCCTTCTTTCTCCTCTTTTTGAAAATAGGGACCACACTGGCCCTTTTCCAGTCCTTTGGGACTTGTCCTGAGCGCCATGAGTGCTCAAACAGTCCTACCAGTGGTTCTGCCAAGACACTGGTCAGTTTTTTTTAGTACACTTGGATGAAGATCATCTGGGCCTGCTGACTTGAACACATCAAGCCTCTCTAAGTGTCCCTTCACTAGGTCAACACTAACTGTTGGTGGGCCAGTGTCCCACCTGTGCTTGTCCATAGTTTAATTTGGAGATATATCATTATCTGTGTTTAGGAATACTGATGCAAAAAACTCACTGAAGAGCTCAGCTTTGTCCCTCCTATCCATCACTAATTGCTCTTGCAGGGTCAGTTCAGATCATACACATCCTCCAGCTGGGTCTGGCCCACAGGCCATAAGTTTGATACCTCTGTTTTAATTTTATTTATTATTTTTTTTATTTCTATTTCTTGGGATAAGTGAAAGGCATTGGGAAGGGATGTGTGGGCAAGAAAGAAAGCTTGCAGTCTTAAGGTCTCAAGATGAGATTTGGAGGCAAGTTTAAATTTGCTTTTATCAGTAACTACTAAAAGTTCTGCTTCAGGAGAACAGTAGGTTTGTGTACTACCTGTTCATCTCTGGAACTGCAGTCTGATGCTTTCTGTGATTTCATAAATCTGCTACTGAATTAAGTATAGCCTTCTGATAGAGAGCCTGACTGAGTATCGATAACTCTGAAAATGTTGGGGGTTTTTGCCTTTTTCTCTTGGTTTGCAGAGCTCATGTAAGCCTCCTGAAGGGGTAGAGTGCTCCAGTGGGTTCTTGACTTACTAAACAATAATTCAGCTTTCATGAGAAACCTTTTCAGTCTCTGCCATGATAAAGGAAGGTGAACTGCAATATTTATCTTTGATTGTAAGCTCCTCAGTACCAGGACTACCTTTTATCTTTTTGGCACATAGTACTAAGGTTATTACTTGTGCCTGACAAATGAGTGTCAAACTTCTAGTGGTGGTGGAAGGGAAAATGGGGTTGAAAAGAGAAATTATTGTGACTTAAAAAATAAAGTTATCTTTGAGCAAGATACCATTGTAACAAAATAAGTAAATACAAATGACATATGTTAAATAATTGTTGCTTGGGATAAGCAGCTTCTGCATTCTGTAGTTAAGATTTGGCAGTGTTAAGTAACGCTCACCAATGACTCTTATGTATCATGACTAATCAGACCTTCACCAGGACCAAGAAAACGTCAGTCCGCTCCATGCAATGATTGCAGAGGTCACAATAACCGTGCAAGTGCAGCAGTGAGGGGCCCTCACCGTCCTTCTCGAAATCCTAATGATAAAGGGAAAGCAGTCCGGGGCCGAGAAAAGAAGGATCAACAAATCAGAGGAAAAGAGGAAAAGGTAAAAACTTGTGGGTGGCTTCATTGTATTTTTATGCCAGGATAATGGTGCAAAGGAAATTTAGTTTGAGAAAATTGATCAGCTATAATGTGCTTTTTATATTCAAAGCAGTATGCAAACAAAAGCTCACAAAACATGTTAGTAGACTTATTTATGGAGAAAGACTAATGCAGAAGGGTTGAATGATTGGTTGAAGGTTTTGCCTAGATTAATTAACAGCCAGAAATAAAATTAAGTGCTGACTTTTTGCATCACTGTTGTGTGGTATCCATGAGATTAACTGATAGCGGTAACAGGAGACTATTATTAACATGTAAAATCCACTTTTGGCTTTCCCAAATCAAAGATTTTACTATGTAAATAAAGGTCAGCACTTCTTCCCACGTAATTGGTAGAAAGACCGTCTTAATTTTTATAATGTCAAAGTGCTTGGATTACCGTGGTCATGTGTTTAGTAACAGAAACTATCCTGTGTTTGGTTTTATTTTTTTAAGTGTCTCGATCCAATTTGTATAAAGCATTATATGTTTTCACATGTTAAATAGTTAGTTAAGGGACAAATCCAGTAAGTAATGCATGTGTTTCATACTATCAGGTAAGAAACATTCTGCTCTCATTGAGATCAGTGAGAGTCTCGAAGCTGGTTTCAGTAAGAACAGGATTGAACCCTGATGTGTGAACTGGTAACTTGATGCTCTATAAAGAGAGAGAATTTATCTCTCTTCAAGGTTGAGAAAAGGAGAGAAAAGCAGGACTTTAAATTCCCAACACCAAATCCTAGCTGAATAATTTATTCAATGGGGGAGGAAGGGAAGAAAGTAAGGTTTTATCTTAGAAGCTGATTACATAGATAAAGCTTTATTGGTACGAAAATATTTAGCATTTCTGTTTTTATTTTAAAAAAATCAAACTAAACTATTTTTCTAACCTGCTCTAACAGCCACAGTATTCAGTTTACAATATATAGGATCTGAAATCACATCAACACCAAAAGATTTCACAAAATAATATATTCACAAAATATTTTACTTTCCGAAGTGAAGTTCTGGCAAGAAAATCAAGAAAAAGTCTTGCTGTTTCAAAATACACATCTAGAATTTTTGTTTTGAAACCATTTTAATTTTGCATTAAATAATGGTAACATAATAATAATAATAATAGTAACATGTCAACAGTAATAATGTTAATAATAATATTATATATTCTATTCAACAAAACCCTTCAAATGACCCAAACAGTCTTTTTCCTGGAACTTTTCTGTGCAGAGTTCTGGAATTTTCAGTTATTTTGAAATCTGTAAGTACTTCTATCCTTCTGCACAGTCTTGATTATTACTTAAAGGTACTGTGAAAACATGAGAGAAGAAAAAACATTATGTAGGACATGAGGGCAGAATGAGACCTAGGTTTCCACAAAACTTTCAGCCACTGGTGAATATAGATTTTGTAGATATTAGGGCTGGAAGAGACTTTGGAAGATCGAGTCCAGCCCCTTGCCCCGGGGCCAGGAAGTCAGCTAGGATCAGGATCCCAGCAAGATAAAAAAGATAGTGTAGAATAAGCAGTTGTTGGGGCAGCAAATCATAGTATGGCTAAATTCTTAGAATAAATAAAATATGTATGCATGAGTTAGGCTACTTTCATAAGACTTTGAGGATCTTAAAAGTGATGGGATAATAGATACCTCAGACTTCTCCTTTACACAGTGCCATCTCGTGTTATTGTGCCCAGTCTTGCTCCACTGAAGCCAATGGCAAATAACTTGATTTCTTCAGGTTCAGAATTAGGTGCCAGTAGGAAGACTATTCCTCTGAGCCTTGTTCATTTTTAAGTGAGAAATTTATGAATTAAAATAAATTCAAAATGGTTATTGTCATAAAGCATTGTTAAGTGAGCTTGTACAAGGCCCAAGTAAAAAGTGGAACAGTTTATTTACAGTGGAATAATTAAATACTCTATGCAGTGTAAAGCAGTGATTTTTAACTGGGGTGTCATGGGATCCTGTCTAAGGATGCCACAGGGAGCAGTGCAGTATTGGCATTGTTAGCTGTGCAAATACCTACATGGGATTCACAGGATAAACCCAGAGATTTCAAATAGGCATCTGTTCTGACTGGTTGTGGTCTTTTTAGAATTCTTTGCAACAAAAGAATAGCTGTGTTATTTTCCCATAACCAGAAAAGTTTGTGGAAGGTAAGAGCTGGCATTTTCCAAGAGGTACCTTGGGTCAAAAAAGGTAGAGAACCACTGGTGTAAAGAAGGTATGAATGTCATTTAACTTTGTGTGTAAATAACGCTGAACCTCCTCATGCATTAAATGTGCACATTGCCATAGTACATTATCACCCACCCTGGAAAGAAAGAATAACTACAGTTACATTTGAACTGATTTATTTTTCTTTAAGTCCTTGTAATATAAATAATGCATATCTTCCATTTGTGGAAAAACAGTACCAGTTCTATAGGCTGATTCTGAAATCGGAATGTAGTTTAGTAGTTGGGAGGAATTAGATTAATCCCATGTTTATTTTAATGGGAGTTTAGGTGCCTAAGTAAATTTGTGGATCTAGGCCTGGGGCCCTAAAATTATTTGAAGCAAATAAACTGCAGTGACTAGCAGGAGACGGTTAAAAAAAATATGGCTTACACTTTTATTATTTTATATTTCTAATAGTTAACATGTATAAAATATGAGAATGGGAACATCATGGGTTACTGTTATCTAGAATAGATGCATTCCTTGCCTTGGTAGCTGAGATGACATTCAGGTTTCTTAGCCAGTTCTGAACTTCCACGTTGTTGGATAATAGTGTTGTAATTGAAAAGCCAAAAATGTATATGCAGTACAGCCCTGGTATGGATTGTGTCACAACAGTTTTTGTTTTTTGTAGAACAAATCCTCTTCTGATATTTCAGAATCTGAGCCAAAGAGATTTGATGGTACAGGATATGATAAAGATTTAGTAGAGGCTCTGGAAAGAGATATAATTTCTCAAAATCCCAATGTGCGATGGTAAGTCTAAGTGTTATCAAGCTTGTATTTTTGTGCTTTTTTTTTCTCATCAGAGAGTGGCTGTAACTTCCAGGGTTAAGGCTTTTAATACATGGAATAAGTGTATCTACAACAGGGATTGGCAATATTTTTGGGCAGAGTGTCAAAAATACTTGTGGCCTTGACTGGTAAGATGTTGGTGTGCCAGGGCTGCACGACAGGGGAGCCATGAGGGGCCCGATCCTCGTTGTGGCAGCAGCACAGCCCTGGCCCCTTCCCAGCCATCCGCCCTGAGGCATGTGTGCCAAGCAAAATGCCTTCAAGTGCCATGCTCTGGCACCCATGCTGGGGGTTGCCTACTCCCGATTTACAAGTTTTCTTTGTGAGTTGAGTGTGTAGCTAAACTACTTTTTCAGTGTTTATTGCAAGAAACTTAACATGATAAAAGACCTTGCCAAATCCATGTTGTATCATGGTATATCAGCAGTGGGTCCCTTTTGAAAAGAGCAAAAAAAAAGTATGATCTCTAATTGGCGATGTATCATATTTTCTCCCACAAAACACACCCTGGAATATAATACACATCTTGTTTTTGAAAGGCAAAAAAAAGAAAAAAGATTTTTCTAGAGTTTTGGTTGCATGCAGCTCAATTTGGGCAGGCTGCTTTTTGTGGGAGTATATTATATGTGAAAAAAATATGGTAATTCCTTTTTATAGTTGCCTTTACAGACAGCTTCAAAACCCCAATTCATACAAACGCAGCTTTATTGCTCAGCTCCCTTGTATTCAGACTATCACAAGACTAGGAGGGTTTTGTGAGGATTCAGCAAGAAAAGCTTGTGTCTAATAGGCTTATTAGAAATGGTTGTACTTTTTGTGTATCAATATAAAAAAGGGAAGATAAATATTTATATACTAAGCTGAAGTGTGGTTTTTTTTTCTTCATTTTATGCCAGCTCAAACTTCAGACTGGAATTTAAACATTCTTAGACCAAACGTAGACTGTTCCTAATGTCTTGCAAAACATTACTGTTTTAGCCACTTGCTGGTTTGTATGGGGCCACTATGGAGGATGCATCCAAAGTGAGGTGCTGCTACAAACTTAAGATAGCGTACAATGCTTCTCATTCTTGTAGAGGCAGCTCTGAAGTTGACTAAATGCTTTACTCTTGAAAGAGAATTCTCAAAAAAACATTTTTTTTTAATCCCTTCCTTCAATTTGCCCTTATTAATTGGTCTTCAAGCTTTATAAATTATAGCTATACAGATGAACGGTGTCAATTAATGCCATAGTTCCCACTGGGGAGAAATTTTATAGCACATGTGGTGCTTACTTTAGCATGTTTCCCCAGACTGCCTTATCAACATATTTCCTTTCTGATGTGGACGGAAGGGTGAGGGTGTGCGCAGAAATGTAAATTAAACTGTTAATTGCTTGGATGCACTCTGGAACCTGTCAGTCCAGTGCTATGCATAGAGATGAGGACACTTCTCTGACAGAAACTAAATTAAGCTCAGTTCGTTCACATTGTCTATTAAATAGTCACGTGATGATGAGTGTTTGCATCTTGAATTGAATGCTGGTATAACCCTCCTGTTACCATCTACTTAAATTCCTTTCTTCTGTATCAGGGATGATATAGCTGACTTGGTAGAGGCCAAAAAATTGCTCAAGGAAGCTGTTGTCTTGCCAATGTGGATGCCAGAATTCTTTAAAGGCATTAGAAGACCATGGAAGGTAAGAAAAAAATCGTATTCTGTGACATGTAGTGAAATTTTTAATATCTGTTCTAAGAGGAGCACCTGAAGTTATAAATGTTCCATGTCTGATGAAACCAACCTTTCCTCCCTAATCCAAACCCCTTAGGGGAAGTAGTTTCTGTTCTGAATACTAATCAAATTAAGCTATAAAGTAAAACAAGTATATGGTTATGGGCTGTATTGTTGGTATTGCTTAAAGACAGTAATATTACTCTAGCTTGTAATACAGCTTAGGCAAAACCTTCTATTGAATATTTTAATTCTGAAGCTCTAAAACAGCTGCTTATGTTTAGATTGTTGCACTGAATTTTCTTCACTAGGTTTAATGTTCAACCTTAATTTTGGACTTTGTTTTAAATAGGGTGTACTGATGGTTGGTCCACCCGGTACTGGAAAGACCCTCCTTGCAAAAGCTGTAGCTACTGAATGCAAGACAACATTTTTCAATGTCTCTTCATCAACACTAACTTCAAAATACAGAGGAGAATCTGAGAAACTTGTTCGCCTGCTGTTTGAAATGGTGACTGAGAGCTCTTTGCAGGGAATAGTGGGTTGTAACTTCATCTCCGGAATAGTGAACCCTAGGCAAGAGCTAAAACTATTAGTAAATTACACCTCCAAATTGCACATTCAGGTGTCTGTAACCACTTACACTGCAGTCTGGGCATGGATATGCATATTTTTAGCAAATCACTTTAAAAATTGACAAGGAGTCCAGCCTTCTATTTGGTATGTACATTAATATGATAGGTTATGCTTGAGGCCATAATCCCTGAGTTCATGGGACTACTTCAGAATCTGAGATTTCTTATGAAAAAAGATATGTTGTTCTTCATGGTTGTGAAGAAGACTTAAAAACTGGAAACAGTAGAACCAAAGGAGTGACTTTTCTGCCTGAGTCGGCAGGTAGTCTGAATCAGTAGCTCTGAGAGGTGTAAAACTGCTGCATGCATCACACTGGGATGTTAACTCAAGACTCACAGCTTGAAGTGGGAGACTTGGCATGTTCATGAAAACAGAAAGTGGCTGTAGAGAAATGTTGTGGCCCTGGCCCCTCTGCTATTTAGTCATATACTGCAGCTGCTGTGGACCTTGTGATGTTGTCCATGAATCACTGGGAAAGTGAAACAACTGCCACTTTGAAGTGGAGTCTAGGGCCATATTGTGAGGAGTCTAAAGGCTGCTCTATACCAGAGAATTATATTCCTATAAATTTAAGTGTGAATTTAAGCCTATACCAGAATTTAATTATTCTGGTAGAATTTCCTATGTGAACAATCATTCTAGTTCCGATGCCTCTTATTAAGTGACTGCACCCTTGACAGTTTTGGCTAGATGTGATGTTAATTTATGTAGGGCTGTGAACAGCTGCCATATGAGACCTTGGGGTTATTGTGCTTCAGTAAGTCATTGCTATATGCTGTTGTGTTATTACTGGTGACGCCCCAGGTATGTATAGATGGAGGTAGAGGTGGGAGAGGATACATACTTGTTGGATATTTACACCTGTTGTATTAAGTTGCATTGCATTGTTGTGCTGTTTTATGGATGTTTCTGGAGATGTTAATTTAAAAGAAATAAGGTTAAATAAAGCCTGAAATATATTAATGCCATTTCAACTTCTGATCTCCCTAGGCTCGGTTTTATGCACCAACAACTATATTTATTGACGAAATAGACTCTATCTGTAGTCGCAGAGGAACCTCAGAAGAGCATGAAGCCAGCCGTCGGGTGAAGGCGGAATTGCTGGTTCAAATGGATGGTAAATTAATTAGCAGTTGGTGGCTCTGGATTAAAGGAGAAAATATAAAGGTTCAAATTTCCTTCACCAGGGAGTGGATAATCTAATTACAACATTTTTAAAAAGGCAGATTAAAAAGAGGTGCATTGGCAGTAGTTCAAGTTCCAAGACACTGCAAATACATTTAATGAGTGCTCCTTTTTGACTTCCCCGCCCCTCTCCATAAAAGCTATCTTGGTATCCTCTTGCAGACTGAATAACTAAGCTTTCTCAATCTTTGGAGTCCATGCTATAATCCTACTTTTATGCTCCCACAATTTTTTTTTCTCCCTAGTTCCAGCAATAAAGTAAAGCAATAATTTCCAACTGAACCATTGCAGCCTCAGGGATGGCCTTCCTTTAAGGAGAACTGTCACACAGAATTCCAGGTGACTTTCTACTTGGTTTGTAGAAGCGTCATAAGGTTATCATCAGTTACCTATGCTGGTTTAAAATTCAGATGATACTACTTTAATCTTGACCTTTCATTGACTCCATTCCCCTTTTGCTGAAGGAAAATAAGGATGAAGCTGGACAAAAATGAAGACACTAGTTTTTTTTAATAGCTTTTTCATAAAAACTGCACACACAAGTCACTTCTATGACTAGTCTAAGTCATTTACTATAAAAGATTCAGTTTTACTTGTGCAAAATGTGAACTTTTAATTTAATCTTTGCTAAACACTGCTGAAATGTACTTAAAGAGGAACATTTCATCCCATTTTTTTTTAAATGCAGTAATTTAAAATTGCTGATCTGCAGAGTGAGTTATGACAGGGTTCCACACGTAAGAAAATCCAGATTATTTAATTCTAGCAACGTGATGCACCTCCCACTTCAGTCTGTAGAGGGACTTCTGTTGGTTTAAATAAAAAGGTCAGACCCCTATAATCTTGCAGTTTATAATCACAGCAAAGCTGGTAGAACTGAAACTTAAAGTAGAACTTCAACACAGTAGAGGAGCTTCATTAATATTACAGAGTAATGGGTGCTTTCATCTGCATATATGTATGAAATTCTACACAGGCTGCATAGGCTAATTTCCTTTCCCTTTCTAACACAGGTGTTGGAGGGGCATCTGAAAATGATGATCCTTCCAAGATGGTTATGGTACTAGCTGCTACTAATTTTCCTTGGGATATTGATGAAGCCCTAAGACGAAGACTAGAAAAGAGAATTTACATTCCTTTACCATCAGGTATAAAGACTTCCTTTTTTTTATCTTGGGTGTGGGGAGATCAGAAACTAAGATCGCCATTCTGTCAATTTTGATACCTTTTATATTTGACTGAGGTCTCAGATTAGACTGAGATATAGTGAGGGGGGTCTAAAACTCAGAAGCACCTTGGGGGTGGGGTGCGGTGGGGGCGGGCCAGGCAGGGATATATGCAAATACACGTATTAGCTACTTTAAAAGGGGAGATGGGGCTGCTGCTCCAATGTGTGTAACAGCTGGTATGCTGTGACTGTTACCTCTGCATGAGCCTATAGTCATACAAGTGAGCCAAATTGCCCTAGCTGACCTTTGATGAAGCAAGGTTAAAGTTGGAGCAGTTTTGCTCTGCTTGTATCACTACAGAATCATGCAGGTATAAACAGCTGCAGCCTAACAGCCTGTATATCCCTGCCCTGTGCGCTCTCTCCCTCCTCCCCCAGAGGTACTTCTAAGTTTTAAACCTTTCTTGCTATATATCTGAGTCTAATCTGAGACTCCAGTCGAATATAAAAGTTATCGAAATTGAAGTAATGGCAGTCTTAGTTTTTGGTAGTGATAGAGTTGTTACATTTATCTTGTCTTCAGAACATGGGTTGTATTGATTTTTTTTTAAACCTTTTTGTGTGTGTTGTTTAGCAAAAGGCAGAGAGGAACTTTTACGAATAAACCTGCGAGAGCTTGAATTGGCTGATGATGTTGACCTTGAAAATATTGCTGAGAAAATGGAAGGTTATTCTGGCGCAGATATCACCAATGTATGCAGGTATGTTGGTTGCAGCCTTTATATAGACAAACTCATTATCTGAAAATGGTGTGCCATATTGGGTTTAACATAATTCAAACCAAGTAGTTCTTAGTAAAATACAGACTGATTTAGGCACTCTTGCAGTTTAAAATCTAGCAGAAAAGCTAGCTACTACACAACCATTTATTTAAATTTGTATTCCACACCTTCTAGATATCGTAAAGGTAAAAAAAAAACAATTATGACAGTCCTAATCAAAATGGTTTATTAATGACATTTCATGTTTGCTTGTTTAAACTGAATTATCCTTTTTGTGTGAGGTTTTCCAGTTCCTATGGTGTTCGTTTTAACTTGCAGAGTTTGTTGGATCATCCCATTGAGGTTCTAAGGGTGCATATCCCCATGCAATCATAAAGATGAAAGCAACAGAGAGCCATGTCAAGTGAATTGGGAATCCTCAGAGTGAAGGGATGCCATGCATAACGGCTAGTTGGGCTGCCATGAAACCTTATTAGCACTAAGAGCAGGGGTTGGCAACCTACAGCCCACAGGCTGGGTTTGGCCTGCAAGAGGTTTGGATCTGACCTCTGAAGGTCCAGTTCAGTCTGTATTATACTAAGGGCACACTGCCAACTCCTCAGCTGTTTTATCATCTTTTTGCTAGTGGTATGGTGAGATTACCTTTAAGTTTGTAGCTAGCTGCTGCATCTCATGTGAAGGGCTGCTTTTTGGTCTGTGGAGGAGATTGCAAGCTCTGGCCCACATTTACAAAGGGTTGCCTACCTGTCCTAGAGCTTTGACCTAATGGGAAGTGTGTGGAAAAAGGAATAATACTTTGAAATAGTACTTCACAGAGAAGGAAGGAACCTGTGGGATGATTGTTTGTAATTAGTTTAGCTGTCAAGTATGCCATAAGAGGATTTTCATATTAGAGTAAAAGGATTGTTTAAACACAAGTTAGCTGCTTCAGCCTCATCCTGCAGTCACGTACTGCATTTCTTTTGTGGTGTAATATTTTTGTGTAAGTCGACTTCTGTCTTGCTGCTCCTCCAGAGGCTGTTCTGATGTTTGTAATTATACTGTTGATGCTGGAAACTGAGCATAGGGTGTGTCAACACCTTGTTTAGGAGGTAATAGTCCTATAGCTTTTTCTTTGCATGGATTTATGCTGTATGAGCACTCATTTGTTCCTGTCTCTTTCCTTGGCGCTTACTTGAATAAATCAGTGTATTAAAACCCATAATTTGGACTTTACTGCAGGAACAGAGGATGCCTTTGTCTCCTTTAATATTTTAGCATTTTTATAATGCTTTGTTTTAAAAGTATTGTGTAAATCTTAATTCATTATAAAGCCATTAGAGCTAGTTCTAAAAATCAATTTATTCTGTTTCTAACTATGACAAACACAAATAAGAAACTAGGTCTTGGATTGAAAGCAGGTTTTTTGATAGAAAGACGGAAAGTATTTATATTAAGGCAAGTTAACATGACTTGGAATAGAGCAGTCTCTATAGCAGTTGTAAAACATCTCTTAGTTGAGGCTAGAGAGTTAGTACTGATTCTGCTTTTAGGGCTCAATCAGTACTGTAAGGGTGGTGTCATATGTTTAACTTAACACTTACTAAGTGCAGTTTAAAACATGAGCAAATGCACATTCAAGCAGTTCAGTAAGTGTTAAGTGCTGTTGAGGGTTGCACAGTTGCTCCCTTTCAGGCAAGGATTATCTAACCTATTAACTTTAATACCTCACAGCATTCCAATAATTTACAACTGTTGCAAATAAACCTATGGCTACATCCTAAATGGGGCATTTTTAGTGTCCTTTGATATGTCATTTACTTGATCCCACCAGCAGGGGGACTTGGATAGCTGAGCAGTGTGCTGACACACCTTGTGCTCATTTGATGCCTTGGTATATATAAAATGGGAATGAAAAGTTTGTTATTCAGATTCTCTCCTGTTACAGGTCTAGGCCAGCTTAGACAGAGCACTTATCAGCAATAGTTTAAATAAGTATGAATACTATAAACCTGCATCTAACATCCAAATCCTTTCCTGGTACTTGTTTGTGGTGCTAAGTAATGTCCCTTCCATACCTAACAACAAAAGTACAAGAAAAATCTTAGCTAACGTAGTTCGTACCCTTGGAAACTTCACCAGAATTTAATTACAATGTTCACTCATGCCATCATCTCCTTACTATAGCCAGTTGTTTCTCTGGATCTCATGGCTTCTTTCATCCATCAGCATGGAACAAAATTGAGATTGTATTATTGCCTCCCATGGGGCTGGGGCTATCCTTTCAGCTTTTTTACTGCCAAATCGAAGCAGTAGCTGGAATTTGGTGAAAGACTTGTATTAGAGACTTAGTTATTTTTGGGCATGAACTTGCTTTTTTGATTTTATGGTTTTGGAACTTCACGATTTCAGCAAATAAGTTCAAGCTGTGCAAACTGAAACTTCATCAGTCCTTTTTGTATGTAGACATTCAGCACAGCTCAGTATCTCCTACACTTTTGTTGACCCAACAAAGGACATCTAAATACAGTCAGTAAATGCTTTGATGTAACAGGAAAAAAAAGAGGTGTACTTGAAGTCACTTTAATACAGGCTCACTGGAAGCAGCAGTTGGAAGTGCATGTGACTTGAATATGTTCTGTAATCATTTTGTCCCCTAGCTCAGATTGGCCTCTTAGTTATTCATTTTACAATGTGAGACAGTAGATACCTTATGGAACACCTTGGAACTGAGTGTAGAGCAGAAAAAGCATTCAGCATTAAAGAACAGGACTTGTCTTTAACTTTAAAGAACCCTCCTTGTTCTGTGCCTCCCTCTGTTTACTGCATGCTTCTGAAAGCCATGGCAAACACCAATGGGAAACAGCAAATTTGGCACCAAGGAGGCGGCTTTAAATGGACACTTTTAATAGTCCCTTTAAATCCTCAAACACAATCAGGCTGGCCCACATGCTGTAGGCTGCTGTTCCCTGGCATAGGTTGTCTGGAAATGCTTTAAGCATTTAATGCCCTAATAAGCATAATAATTTGGCACATTCAGATTATTTGGCCATCCCCAGTAGCTAGAAGTGTTACTTTCATTAGATTCAGTTCTGAAAAGAAGTTCTCTCCAGTTTTGTCAGTAAGCGCTTGTCCCTACAGGGATGACAAACACGCTCCATTTTGAATACTGCATCAAGTAATGCACTCGCATTACTATTGCATATAGCTAGTGATGCAGAAACTTTCCTTCTGCAGTAGGATCCTTGAAATTCTACCCCTCAAACCCTGGAAAGGGAGGCCCATTGGCTAGAGTATCTGTCTAGGGACCACATAAATATCTAAAGTAGAATGGAAGCTACGATGAACCTTTACGACTCTTGGTTCTCCAAACTGAAATTGTGGCCTAATTTGAATGTTTAGTTTAAGTCTTAAGCAACCAAACATACCTTCATCCTAAGTAACTTTTTTACATGCCCTACAGAGATGCATCATTGATGGCTATGAGAAGGCGTATTGAAGGCTTGACACCAGAAGAAATCAGAAATCTTTCCAGAGATGAAATGCACATGCCTACAACTATGGAGGATTTTGAAATGGCTTTGAAAAAGGTTTCTAAGTCGGTATCTGCTGCAGACATTGAGAAATATGAAAAATGGATAGTTGAATTTGGATCATGCTAAGACCTCTTTAACCAAACTTACTTTGAGAAACCTGCCTTAAGTCTTAAAATAGCTTCAGAAGTGATGAAAAGTAGTTCCAATGCACTGAGTGCTATTTTTTAATTTTTGTAATTATTAAGAGTAACATGATTCTAAATAAAATAATTTTTTAAACTGCAGGTTACCTCTGCCTCTTGAATTAACTTAGACCAGTCCTCCTTTGCCTATCTGTTAATGTTAATCAAATGTAGTAGTGGGACTTGTTCGCTCTGCATTTAGGACGGAAGCTGGCTTTATGTGATTGTTTAAATTTAGATTCTTGCTGTTGATTGAGCTGGAAACTCCAGTTCCAAAACGGTTGCCAATCCATAAGAGGCAGGAATGTTAATAAGAATTTTTGCATCTGGTCGTCTTGATGCAGTTTTATTAAGCTACTAACATTTAATGAATTCAGCCTGAGCTAGAGAGGTGGGAAGAGACCTGAATTTAGGATACAAGGATAACCGTTTTTCAGCATATACTATATGACTGAAATCCATTTACTACTCTGGCCATTGGCCAACCGTGTCAGATATGCTGTCTCATTTTATAGAGTGGATGTAGAAGTGCTAGAATGCAACAGCAACCAGCAGCAGTGCTGTGAGAAGAAAAAACTGCAGCAAACTAGTGAAAAAAGAGGAATAAATAGGAAAATCAGGCTGTCAGCAGAGACAGCTGGAGGCTGTGTTCCTGTGGCCCTTATGGTTACCCAGCAATACCATTGCTCTGGTGAGTTGTTTGAGGGAGATGCTGACTCTACAAAGAGCTCTTCAGTACTTGGACCCTGACCAAGACAAGACCTAAGATGACAGGAGTTCAACTAGGTGTATTATTGCATAATTCATTACCTTCATGATGCCCAAAGTCCCACCCTTGCATCTCCCTTCCCATTTCAGAAAGGTGGTTGGATAAACTGCAGGTAGAGAAAGGAATTGCCTTTTGAAGTAGCCAGTTTAAACATGAGTTGCCAGTAGACTTAGAATTGGGTAGCTGGCAGGTTTGGCAGAAAGGTATAATTTTAGCTGACCAGTCAGCTTATTGCAAACTGACCAAATATTTCAACTGATACCAAACAGAAATGGAAAGGGTGTCAATGACTCAGTCCCTGCACTAGTAATGTTGCAGTGTTGTAGCTATGCTTGCATAAATATATGCATGGTAGCATTTTGGTTTCTTAAACCAAAACACTTGTTCAATTCAGTGTTTGGAATGAGGTGGACACTAGTGCCAGCTCAGGGGCTGCTCTTTTTTTTTTGGCTATGATAATAGACAGCAGCAACACCAGTATGATTCCCTGCAGACCTGAGTACAAATGTCCTGTTTTGTCCTTTGGCACAGATGACAAAACTGAAGGAGGTGCTTTGATCCTTTCCAACATTTCTGAGATGGGTGAGCTTGTTTCATGTGCTGCAGTTAGGACATCCTCCTCTATCATGCTAAGCGTTGTTGGCACCAACATGAAACAGTTGCTTTTCAGTCTGTTGTCCTTTGGAGAGCTATCAGCCATAAGCATCTTGAATGGATTTCACAATATTCACTGTAACACCCTGCCACTCGGCTTGAGATGTGCATGCTGAAGCTGCGGAGTGGTCCTTATAACAAGTCTGAGCCTTTTGAGTTTTTCAGTGAAAACTTCCAAAACAGTATTTTTGCCTTTTAAATGTAAGTGTACTAGTGACCCAGTACCACTGCAGGAATAATTCAGTAGTCCTAGGACTGCACATGTTATTGCCAGTTCTCTTAAAATCCCAGCCAAGCTGCAGTTATTTTTTCCCTCATTCTGTGAAGAACAACTCAAATGACACTTACTGACCCACAACACTTGCCACCATCCGTTCTATTTTTCATTCATTAGCAAGTTAGTTGTTACAGCTATGTAGTTACAGCCAATCACTTCGGGGCCTTAAAAAACCAGCACCCCTCCCAAATTTGCAAGGTATTTTCAAATAATTTAAGTCACCCTGAAATGAAACAGTCATTTTAAAGTCTCCCTCAGGCATCTGGCTGTGCTCTTGTGTCCTTCCTCTGCCAGTATGTAAAACATGCACTACTGAAAAAAAGGGAACATCTGGCTCATTGATATCAACCTGCATATAAGGCATTGGCAGCACTCAGTCTGGAAAACTATTATTCTTGCAGCTGTTCAGCTGATGGTTAAATTTGCTTGTTGCTTTCCAGGTGTCTAGTATAGCTTTCTGAGTGGGGAAAGTAAAAGGCAGACCAGCTTCCCCAGAATCACCCACCTACATCAAAATATTTTGTCCTGGAAAGATCTGCTGCTCTTCAATACATAATGTTCAGATCTTTTCATTTTGAGCCAGTTAGTGAGCAATGCCTGGATAATGTACCAATACGTCATAAAAAAATTGTGACCCTCCCCCCTCATTTAATAAATTAAAAGAGAGCTAGAACTGGAACGTCATGCCTACACCAGGACATACTCCTATGTGGCTAGATATGCTTTACCACATAAATACAATTATTACCTTGTATCTTGGGTAATACATCCTCCTTATTACGTTTTCCAGTGTGTGAAGTGTGCAGCAAGGCAGACCATGGTTTTGGGGCTAACAACCCTGTATAGTGTCGCTTCCTAATGCAATCTCTCTGTGGGAATGCATGGCACTGATAGAGGCAGCCACCTCTCTATGAACTGTCACTACTGCAGTGTCAGCAATTTCACTGGTTAAAACTCTCCCCTGTAGGCATGGCCTTACTGTTCTTCCAAGGAATGTGCAAGAAATATATATTGCCCTAGTTCATAGCATTTTTTTAAACAGGACTAGGCGGCCCAAGTGTTCAAAGACCTAGTACTCCATTCAATGCAAGAAGCTGCCCATTTGATCTTATGTCATGACACTCTAGCAAAGATGGGTATTCCCCCTCACCCCCTTTGTAACAAATAATTTTATTAGTTGGAATAGCAAGGCCAAAACTAGATTACAATTTGTTTTTTTCTTCAGCTAACATGTTCTGCAAACTGCTGTTTTCTTTAGCTACATTCATGTTAGAACTTCCACAAACCACATTGTTTATTAAACAATTTAAATGTTAATTTATTTGAAAACTCATGGCAATACAAATTAGTCTGGGAAAACTGAGCCCCTCCACTCAGTACAGTTAAACCAGTCTTTTAAAGATATTTTGCTCTTCTTGTTGAGAAAATTTACATGGTATTGCAGTCCATGATATACAAAAGAGCACACTAAACCTGCCACACAAGTTTACAAGTGCTATCAATTTTTAGTGGAGCAGGGGCCTCATACAAAATTGAGTGTTGAATAAAGTGCTTGAAATACCAAATTGCCTTTCAATTTTGTCTTGCATACACAGTAACTTGCTATTATAGTAGTACAAATATTTTATAGTGATTATATTTTCCCCACAAGGCACACTCAATAGTAGCAGACCTAAAACGAGGTTGGCCAGTTTTGTTTGGTCTTACAGGCACACGTGTAATTTATCTGCTCTACTCCTGTCCCCTGTACTAGATAACTACCTAGGGAATTTGGGACATCCTGTATTTCATCCCACTACAAATTCAAGGACAGCTGAACCGGGTTCATTTAAGGAAGCCCATTCTCCATCCTAGCATTTGGGAAATTACTTCACAGAAGTTAAAACCTGTTGTAGCACTTGTGTTGGGAAGCTGCTATTCTTTACCAAGAGGAGCAGGAAAGTTAAGTTAGTTTTGGGTCTCAACCTTGAGTGTTCCTTTAACACAATCAGCCAACTTACAGGTTTCTTAGTAAGAAACAAACAACATAAAGTTCAAGTGCCAAATTTTAGGTCAATTAAAGTTTCATACAAAGACTCAAAAGTAAACCCTGTTAAGTACACAATTTCTCCTCTATGGTGTCTGATTTCTCTGGAACATCCGGAAGGAGACTAAGTGTAACCACAGGAACAGTGCGGATGTCATCCATGGAAAGCAATCCTCTGAAAGATACATATTACTTTTAATTAGAAAAGAGTAAACACACCAACCTGCACTCTGAAAGCTGTTTATTTTTAATGCATTCTCACTGTGAGGCACTCTTCTAGGTGATCACAGCTTTAGCTCACTTGTTAAATGAAGAGGCAGCTCTGGGTCTGATGTTTGAGAACAAAACTGAAAACACAGCAAACCTAGGTTGTTATATGTGAAAGAGCAGATGCAGAGCCTGCCTCACCCATGTGCATTCTCAAACACTTCAATACATTACCTCCTACTATCATTTCCTAGGACTAGCTACTGCAGGATAAAAACACTGTCCAATTTAACATGCTGCCTGGACAAAGGTGATTAAGACAGAGTTTCCAATTAAGGGCTGACTTTTTCAATCTACTTCCAAGACTCCTAAATCCTCCTTTAAAATGAGATTTGGACTCATGCTAATTCAAAAGGTGAAAAAAATGTTTACAGGTAAAGGGGAAAAGATAGAAACCTTAAAGACGTAGTTTGCAAGTCTGTTCTTCCAGGACTGCCTGTATAGGAACCTGCTCCTTGGAGGACTTGGGCAAGCAGCAGTGAGATTTCACATTTAAGTCTGGAGACCCCCTGTGTTGATCTCAGACTGCTACCTCAAGAGAGCTCTAATCAGGCGCTTCCTTGTGCAGCCTGAGGGCAAAGATCAGGCTTTTTCTGGTTCTGCTTAGTTCAAACTCTTTTGGAAAGGTGTAAGGTTTATCTATAGCGGGAAAGTAGCTTAAGTGGCCAATTCCAGTCTGTTCTCTGCTCCATCCCCACTGACAGTTGACTGTACCTGCTCTAGTTTAACAGTGTCCTTTGTGTGCATTGAGGGGGCAGGAGGGGACTATGGCAGATGCTTTGGTAAAGGGCACTCATAAGTAGCTTCTCAGTTTACTCACCCATTATCCCCCTTTCCCTAAGGGCCTTTATACAGAAACCAGGATCAATTGTACCACTTACACCATTCACTAAGTGCACTAAGAAAGCTGCAGCTGCAAAGTCACATGCTGGGCTCTCCATTCCAAGCTAATGTGACTAATCCAAGTGTTAGATAGTGGGAAAACACTAGATAGATCTGAGCTTTGCCCTCCTATCTGTTTTCTCTGATGCAAGAGATTGGTAGAGCCAGTGCATGACAGCTCTCTCTCAATGGGTTGCTCAGAAGTTTGCAGTCAGAATCTAAATCCAGACTGACTGTGGTTTAAGCAGTTAAGTATACATTATAAAACCACGTAAATGAGTGGTGACCACTACCACTGTTCAGAAGGGGTTAGTTTTTAACACTACCAAGTCCAGAAGACCAGGTGAAAAATGCTGACTAGGAAATATATATATAATGGTTTCAATGTTCTTTGGTTCATCTCAGGAAGGTAGGGCAAGTCTAGTCACGTAAGTGCAATGTATTTTATTTGTTATTCACGGTGTACTGGGGACTTGGCTCACTGTCAATGCTAAGCATATGGTGTGCAGGCATAAAATTTATATGTGGAGGCTGCATGAGGCAAAAGAAAACACAGTTAAGGATGCCTGGGATTGCTGCAGCACATTTTCCATTGGGAATTGGGTGTAGCCTTAAGTCTTACAGTCCGGGAGTTAAACAAGATCAGACTGACCTGTACTACTTTAATTCCAGCACAATGTAGTTAAAAATCTTCATGTCCATTTTCTTAACCCTACAGGGGACGGCAAAACACCACACTTTGCTCATGGAGCCAATGCCTTTTCTCTCTGGCTATCTACTATACCAGACTCCAGGTACTGTTTTCCATTGTCAAAGTGTTGTTAACACATGTCTTATTAATTATCTCTGAGAATGCAGCAGATGAGCTGCCACCAGATGACAGAGGAAGCAGAGAGAAGCGTACGTATTTCTGCTGGCTGGGGACAGCATGCGATTGACTTACATGGTTTGATCGTTTTCAGATCCTTGGTTGAAGCATAAAGAATTATTGGTAGGGTCATGCTGCATGGCTGTGAGGTTCAGCCAGAGTTTTTGGATCCTATACTTGACCATGATGCCTTTGTGGGGGCTTAAAAGTATCTGGCCACAGATAAACACTCAGCTCCTAAACTGGATTTCTCAAAGGATTCCTCCTAAGAATCTGAAATAAGCTGAACAAGAATTTTCAAAAGAAAATATTTGGGGAGGGGGAGGGGTTTGTTTACAAACATTTACCTTGGGAGACCACTTCCACTGGACAGCTAATGACAGTGGCTGTCTCCTTTAAAGGTTCCTATGATGCCTATACTTTTCTTTTTGGGGGATAAAACATGAGTATTACTTACTTGTGTTCACAGGAGGGAAACAGCATCTTTAAAACTCTTATTATAAGAGCTGCTCCTATGATTCCAACCACAATGACCTCCATCAAATTAAAGAACACAGGGAAAGATTCAAGCCAGAAACTGCACAACTTGTTTCTCAATTGTTCCACCCACTGGCACATCACCTGCAACCAAAGAACAAGATTGTTTATGACCTACTTCAAGGGCAGTTTGTCTAGCTACTGCTAAGTCTGAAAGCCTTCAGGCTTGGGAGAGTTTAACAAACGCAAGTTTTGAATTTCCAAAAGCTACTGATCCTAGCAGCAGCTCCTGAAGGGAGATGTCATTTAAGTGAGGAGTCAGTGAACTGAAAAGCATAGAACCAGTGAAGGCTTAGTGGAAGTGAAAGCCTGACCTAGGTTTAAAACATATTCACCGCTGATACCCAGAACAACCCTTCCTATATGCATGTAGCAAAGGGAGAGCTGGTAGTAGGGCAATAGTGTGAGATGCAATGGGACATGAATCAGCCATCTGAAGTATGCACAATACACCACCAGAGGGTAGTACGACCTTGGGTCTGTCTGGAGCAGCACACTGCTGAATTTGGAACTCTACCATTATGGTAAATATTAGCTGTGCTTTAGTATGACAGCCAGAGTAAAACCAATGGAGACAGTGCTCTTTCTTCCTGTACAGCATGTGGCGCAAGACAACACACGCACAGCAATAACAGTTCTTCCAGGAAGGGAATACCCAGAAAAATCTTCCAATTTGTCATGACTTGTGCTGACTTTTGTGCTGAACAGCAGTTGCAGAAGTGCTGCATTTCCTGGAAAGCCCCTCCCCTTCCCTGGAAGATCCCTATTCATTCCTTCTCCCAAAATTTACATTTTGCAGCTGCAGCCTCTCACTGAGATGAAGCTGCCTTTCCAAAAGTAGCCTGGCCTCTCTGCTTGCACAATGATTTAAGTTGCAGCAGTGAGGAGAGAGTCCACACTTCATGTAAATAATTTTACTGGTCAACAAAAGCATCTGTGATAACATCTTTACATTCATCATCATCTTGAACTCTTTGCCCTTCCTCTAGAACAAAAGAGCAGGGGCATAGTCACTGACACCAGTGTGAAAATAATTTATAACTGAAGGAAATCCTTTTTATACAACACAGTTTGTGAGCCTCATAGTGAGGTCAGAGCTCAGTATGATTCAGACCAGGGGTTTTCAACCTTTTTGGGTCAGTGTACCCCTGGCAGCTGGTTAAGAAGGCAGGAATCCCCCAGTGGTCAGATGAGCAGGTGGGGGTGGGGGCAGGGTATGCCCGGTTGAAAACCCCTGGTTTAGACCAGGACGGTCCAACTCTCAGCTGCTGGTCCTGCTTCCCCCACCCCACTGCTCCTGCTGCTGTCACCGGGGTCTCCAGAGGCGCCCCCCTCTGCTTTTTGCCCCTGTTTCTGGGGGGCAGAGAAGCATAGCTTGTAGTGGTGTGCTGCAGGGGTTCATGGGTCCTGGCATGGTGTGGGGTGGAAACTGTAGCTCATGGCCATTCAGAAGTTGGACAGCTTCAATTTAGACACTATATGAAAGACTTATGTCAAAAAAGTTCAAAAGAATTTTAGGAAGAATCCTAGTCATCAGTTTTCAGAAAGCAAAGCCAACCACTAACTCATTACTGTCGGGAAGTAACTCCTGCTACGTGTAGATTATCCCTTACATGTCCACTTTTAGGAGTTTTCTTGTGTTTTCCTTTGAAGTACTGACTGCTAGCCACTCTCAGAGAGAGGAGGCATAAGTCCTCAAGTCTTCAAACAATCTGGACAACCAGCCTTAGACAACTGCAATTACTATATTCCTACAACACATAACAGACTATAACCTCACTGAGATTGCAGCTGTCTGGCTGTGCCTACACAAGCAGCAGACCGCACAGTTGTTACTGCAGTAATTTAGTACTTGCATAACCAAGTACTAAATGACTGCACAGTAACCAGTATTACTGAGTCGTAGTGTCTCCACATTCTTTTTCTGATGCTACTGTGCAGTAGCTTATTACTACTGCACAAAAGCATCGCATCACTGTTAGTCACCCCAACACTACTGCACAGTAGCATCTCATGTAGATATGGCCTCTGGGTGCTTTTTCAGATAAAGTAGGAATTGGAACAAAAACTATAACCAGCCTCTGAAAGACACACTTCATAAGCCACTGTAGTTGCTTCTCCCAAATGCAAATGAAAACCCCAAGACAGAATTCTGAAAATGAAAAACTCACACGCTATTCTTTAAAAAACAACAAAAAACCCAACAAAAAATCCCCAGCTTTTAATGCTCTTGCAGAAGCTACATATGTTTTTGTCTGCTGCCCTCATCAGCCAGATATTCATGGAAGTAGGCTTATAACTTTCTACTTGCTTCTGAAAAGAACAGTATAGACACGCCTAGAGAAGTTATTATAGTAAATTTCAGAACCAGTTAGTACAGTGTTAATGGTTCACTCTTATCAACAACACCGTAGTACCACAACCATCCATTGCTTTTCTTAGATTTGCCACCAACTCTCATCTATGTCTGCCACTAAATGCCAAGTTAGAGAGAACGTGCCACTCCTTTGTTAACTGGGCCTTAGAAATGTACACCAATAAGAGATTACCTTATATGAAGATGGAGGCTCTGTTCCAAGAGGTGTCTCTGGTAACTTGCCAGGTAATGTCTCTTCATCTACTGTAGTTTCTGCTTGCCTGAGGAGGTACTGACTGGTGGTTTGCAATGGATCTTGAATGTCTAAAGAAAGGATTAGTTAAGTAGTTAAATGTTTTAGCCTCCCCATTTCATACACTGTCTGTAATGCAACAGCTGACAAGACAAGCTAGAAGTAAACTACGCCCTGGTTGATGCAAAAATGAACATGAGTCACCAGTGTGACGAGGTAATAAGTAAGGCTAACCACACTCCTTCTTACATCAGCAGGTGCATCATGAGCAGGTCTAGGGAAGCGATAATTCCCCTCTATGCGGCACTGGTGAGGCCGCAGATGGAGTACTACATCCAGTTTTGGGCGCTGCACTTCAGGAGGGATGTATGTGGATAACCTTGAGAGGGTTCAGAAAAGGGCTACTCGTATGGTTGAGGGCCTGCAAGTAAGACCCTATGAAGACAGAGATCTGAATCTTTTCAGCCACCGCAAGAGAAGGCTAAGAGGTGATCTTGTGGCTGCCTACAAACTCATTAGGGGGGCCAGCGGGTAATATGGGACACTCTGTTTACCACGGCATCCCTCGGGGTTACCAGGAATAATGGCCACAAACTGAAGGAGAACAGATTTAGATTGGACATAAGGAAGAAATTCTTTACGGAATTCTTTGGCCATTGCCAAAATATGGAATGGGCTTCCAAGGGAGGTGGTGCTTTCCCCTACTTTGGAGGTGTTCAAGAGGAGATTAGAAAGACATCTGGCTGGGGTTACTTAACCCCAGCGCTCTTTCCTGCCTGGTGCAGGGGGTCAGACCCGATGATCTACCAGGTCCCTTCCAACTCTAGAAATCTATGAATCAATAAAAAAATGTTGCATTTACATGCACGCTGCACAGTTATCAGCATTTACAGATGTAAATAACTGATTTTTTCATTTGACCTCTACATGAACTTTGAACACAGAGGTGGTGCTACCAGGTACACTTAACTGTGATCAGCAGTTATCTGCTAAAAGGTGAGAAAAGATTGGATTAATTTGACCTAACAAAACTGCCAGAGAGTTTGATTTACAGAAACTGAAATCTGAACACATTTTCAATACAAAGCAAGAAAATGAATAACCAAAGCCATTCCCTATAGTTAGCAATAAGCCAGACAGGAATCTCCTCTATAGTTGTCATTTCCAGTCTCAAGAAGGAGAGCTTTTGAGAACGTTTTCTTGTAACATTAAGCCAGTAACTTTTTGCTATGATGGCCTAATTAATGCCAACATTTCAGAAGAGCTTCTGAAGAAAAAGCTAATTTGAAAAAGAACAATAAGAATAACACATGGACCACTATAGCAGAGAAGTAAACCACAGCAACCAATGTCCTTGCCTGGTCATGAAGAGACCGTATCTCTGGCATGTCCCTTCACATGTGCACATCACAGTTTCCCTATCTAGAAAACACAAATAGCAATCCTTACCTGCCTTTATGAAGTGCTTTGTGACTGATGAGCTAACTATGACATACCTTTTCCTGGGAGGTTGGGAAGTGTAAATAAGACATCATTATCCCTGGGGATGGAATAGAGCATGCTTTCTTTCAAAGGAACAGAGTAGTTGGAATGTCTCAGGACTCTCTGGTCCTTAACTAAGATATCCACCTCAGTAACTTCCTCCTGCTGCACCTGCAAAAGGAAAAAACATTTCAATATTACTGTTCTAAGCAAGGGCGAGGAATAGGAGCGGCTGAAAACAGCGAGTAAAATGGGCAATGTATTCAGGGCTGGATGTACAGAGCTCACTGACAAACTGACCATAACCTCCTTTTTATTTATTTAAACATTTCCATGATTCTTATCATATCCAAACAAGTGATCTTACAGCAGCAGGGGCAGGCAAAATATGGCCCATGGGCTGGATCAGGCTTGCCAGATGACTGAATCCAGCACACTGCTGCCCACATGGTGCTCCACATGAGACTGAGACTCCATTTGCTCCTGCCAGGGCAGCCCGTGCCACACTCCCGCTGGCCCTGGCCTGGCCAGCATGCAGCTTCTAGTGGGGCTATTCCCAGTGCGGCTGCAGACGGCCAGATGCTGCTCTGCTCACCTCACCTCCTGCAGGACCCACACAGGTGAAGCTTCCCTCCTGCCTGCCCAGAGTGTTGCCGCAGGGGGAAGAGCAGGAGAAGAAGCTGCCACCAGAGGCGAGGGGAGCAGAGCAGCACCCGGCTGGTTGCAGCCGCACCAGGAACAGCCCTACTGGAAGGTATGTATGCTGGCCAGGGTCCGGGCCAGCAGGGTTCTGCTCCCCTCACCTCCAGCTGTGGCTACTGCTCCTGCCCTTGCTGCACCGCTCTGGGTGCGTGGGAAGCTTAAGCAGGGCAGCTCCTGCCCACCGCATGGAGCTCTGGCTCCAGCTCCCAGTTACCTTCCACCTGCTGCTCCAGGCCACAGGTGGCTACTTTTCATGGAGCAGCGTGGCAGGAGCAGCAGCCATAGCTGGAGGCAAGGGGAGCAGAACAGTCCCAGTCAGCATGCACAGCTTCCAGTGGGGCTGTTCCCAGCGTGGCTGCAGCCAGCCAGGTGCTGCTCTACTCCTCTCGCCTCCTGGTGACATGAGCCCAGCTGGCCAAAACTGCATTAGGAACAGCCCCACTAGAACCTGCGTGCTTGCTGGGGCCCAGGCTGGAGGGTGTGGGCGGGAGCACAGCATGGGCTGCCCTGGGCAGGACTGGGCCCCATGCAGAGCGCTGAAGGGGAAGCTGCCGACTGGGTGAGCTCTGCTGCTCACATTTAACTGTTCACAAACTGATAACCAGGAATACCTTACTGGTTATCATTTGGCACAGGACAGGAAGCAGTCCGGCAGGGAAGTGGGGGCACGGTGCCCCTGAAGGCAGGCAAGAGGGTGGGAGGAAAAAGTAAGGAGGAGGAGGAGGGGGACTAGTACCAGGTATGGCAGGGAAGCAGTAGGGAAGCCACAAGAAGCATGATCCTCCTTGTGACAGCACAGCCCCAGCCCCTTCCCCACTATCCACCCCAAGACGTGTGTATACCTGCTGCCAGCAATGCTGAGCCAGAGCTCCACAGACCCCAATTCAACCACTTGCAGCCTCTCGGCTGCCTGCCATGACCAGCCTGGGCTCTGGGCAGGCCAGTGCTTCCTGCCATGGAGCCTGGGCTGCTTGCAGCTGACAGCATAGAGGCTGCAAGCAACTGCACTGGGGTCTGTGGAGCCCTGGCCCAGGTAGTTTGCTGGCACCAGGTACACATGCACCTTGGAGCAGGTGGTAGCACAGCCCTGGCCCCCTCCCTGCCATAAGAAGGATCCAGCCCCTCACGGCTTCCCCGCCATCTGCCTGCCCCAAGGCGGGCGTGCACCTGGTGCTGACAATGAGCTGGGCCAGGGCTCTGTGGACCCCACTAGAGCTGCTTGTTGTCTTCCTGCCGCCTGCTGCAAGCAGCCTGGTCTCCCTGGGTAGCTGTGCACTGGCAGCAGCAGAAGGCAAGGGGTTTTCCCAGCTCATTGCTGCTGCCTGGAGAAAGAGTACAGGTAGGGGCTGCTCCCTGGTGGATGCAAGTTATCAGTTAACTATTTAACCAGTAACATTCAAGGAGTTTAAACCGGTACTTAATTAATCAGTAGTTACATCGCTAGTATAACCCACGAGGTCTGCAATATGGAAATTTATCACCCAGAATGAATGCAGCAGCAAATGCAAGTAGCAAGTGTGAGCTACTGGCTGAATGCTCTTCTCAGGCAGTGCTCACCAACTGCCCAGCAATGCTGTAAGCATATTATTCACAATCTGTTCATTGTCCGCTGCGGGTATAATCAGCAGACACAAAAAAACTATGTAGTTGTGACAAAAGACAATATAGTGTGCAGCAACTTCAGGACTACCAGCGATGTGCAATGTGGAAAAATCTTGGTTGATTCTGGGCCAACACTTTGCTCTCAGTTGTAGACTGCT